GAGTCAGTGTCTGAAACATCTGCTCCTCGCTCAAGAAGGGTTGCAAGATCTTCCAGGCCAGCCCTCCCAAAATTTTTGGTCTCTGCCCTAGTACTTGGAACAGCAGGCTGAGCAGAGTGCTCTGTGCAATGCTAGTCAGTTAGCATCTGTCCCCTGAGATTGTGACTGGGTGTCCCATGAAGACTACTAATCTTTTTCCTAAGGGGAAAAAATGCAAACCAGTAATTCAGTGTGACAACCTCATCAAAATGATAAAATGAATTATGGCTTTAAAACTTTATGCAGTGACTGTTCTTAATAACGTGGGAGTTAGAGAATAATGTTAAAAGTTTCAACTCAAAGACCTGGTTTCCTGTGCTGGCACCAGTCCTAACACTAAATGTTAACACATTAAGCATTCTTACATCTTCATTTTAAAGAGCAATTAGGAGACAGATATACTCACACTGGAATAACATCCCGTTCCTGTGTGTGTGAACACACACAGGGTGCACTTCCGACAGAAACCCACTGTGCTTTCCCTGAGTCCTTAAGGACTTCTCCACTTGCACAAGTTCACTGAATTCTCAAATTCACTGCAGCAGCTGACAGCTTTTCAGCCTACAGACACAGCTCCACCAAACATATCTTCAAAGGGGTGAAGGTGGCATTAAAAAAAAGTGAACACCTGCTCCTGTCCTGTGTTCCTCAATCTACCAAGCACATCTCCAAGGTCAGAAGCTCACAGCAGAATGCAACAAAAGCACTGGCTGTAGGAATTAGACCATTCATTTCCCTGAACAGCTTTAACTATCTGAGAATACACTCCAAGTTACATTACTCTAAACATGTTCACTGTGGATTAAGATAAGACAGGCCAGACTGGCTAAGAACACAAAGCTGCAGACCTCAACTTGATGAGTAAGATCTCTTACTGTAACTCACTGCAGTCACCTCTATCCCAGAACAGTCTCCAGTTCTCTGCAACTAAACCATCCTCAACCCCAAACAGGAACACACAATCCCCACACGAGAGGGTGGGTTGGCCATGAAGTGTTAATGTAGTAGTGGATCCCTATCCCTACAGTTTGTAGTAGTGTTGACTTCAGAAAATTCAACTGCTAATGGAGAACATATCTTTTAGGCTCAGTCCTCAGTGAAAAAAAACTTTCTAGTAAAATCTGACAACTGCTCAAAGCCTACAAGAATGAAAAGAGTATTTAAATCTGAAATTCCATAAGCAAACATCCCCATTGCTCAAATAAGTCTTAAAATCTTCTGCACAATGAAACAACAAGGACCAGGAAAAGGGTAGCTACAGGGAGAGAGGATTCTCCACCATGGCCTCTCTCTACCAGGGCAGAGCTCTAGAGCAGCACAAGAGACCAGGATTTATGGAATCTGCACAGGACCCCATAAGTGGGCAGGACTTCTCCATGACATTTAACTTGACATAGCTCACCAGCATGAGGCATTTCTACATGAAAAAAACCAACAAACAGGAAAAGATTTTGCAGTCAAATAAGGAATAAAAGTGATGAGTACTAACTCTCAGATGATGTACGTACACCCAAAAAACATCCAAAACTCTTCCCAAAAGGGGGGAATTTCAGGTCTTGTAGGGTGTGACTCTCCAAGGCTTGGCAAAGCCACTTATAACCTCACCAAAGTTCAATTTGACTAAGAATGTTTACAAGCACAAAAACTAGGCCAAATTGAGAATGTAAATATTTGGATTCAGTTCCCCAAACTTGTCTCTGTCTGTGCTGCCAACTAAATCCCAACTTCAGACCAAAAAATCTGAAAAGCAACAGTTGCACACACTTTACAGTGCACAGACAAAACTAACACACATGGCACTCAGCAACAGGGGGGGAAAAAAAGGGAAAAAAGGAAAAACCCCAAATTCGTAATCTAAACTAAACTTATTCTAAACAAGACATCAATGAAGTTTGGACCAAAAATCAACTCTGCTATCATTTCATACATTTTGAAAGTCTGATCAGTCCAGATGTTGGTCCTCTGCCCTGCAGGAGCCTGGGTTACATTAAACATAGCTAGATTACTCAAGATCTCATAGACAACATGATGTTTGTAGCACACAGTGGGAACTTTGACCTAAACCACATTCTCTTAAGCCATCCAAAGAAAGGACTCCCATTTTTCAGGCAGATGAACTGAGCAAAAACTTCTCTGGAATCACAGTAATTTATTTGGCAGCAGCAGTCCCATATTCAGAAGTGATTTAGGAGCCCAGATCACCTGGAGTTCTCAACACACATGATCTTTTCTTCCCTAGTTTTACCCCTTTTCTTTTAGGTATACATAAGAATGGCAACTGTGGATTCATGCAAGGGACTTTTGACCTCCCACATACACAGGTCCCAAGGGATACACCATATTCTCAGCTGCCCCTCTTCAAAAGTGTCAAATGCCTTTCAGTCCTACATCTCCATTGCAGATACTCACTGGAGGAAATCAGAGAGGTGAGGGTGTCATTAAGACCAGCATTTCTGTTGTTGTTGTTGTTGTTTGATAAGAATTTGGGCATCCTTACTTCCACTACAGTAGACTAACAAAAAAAATCCATCCTTTCCCTCTTCAGTTAAGCAGGAAAAGCACGAATCTGGTTCTTTTTCTTTACTCAGCTGTGGGAAACTTGGGTTTACTTTCCAGTTAAAAGCAGGCTCTTCAGTGTACTTCACAGTGACCTCTTCACAAGGGGCTTGTATCATTTCTTTAAATGCCCCTACACTAAAAATAGTCTTGCTTCCTAAACATGAGTGTTTAGCAGTTCCAGGCATTCTGAGATCCTGCATACCACTTTAATTTTTTTTTTAAACTGGCAACATTTATTTAACCAGCAATTAAAAAAAGGAGGCCCAGCCGCCCCAGTGATTCTTCCCAGAGGGTCTTAGATGTTTATGAAACACAATGAAAACAATAAAGTGGACAAAATCATGCTATTCCATCAAGTCCTTGGCAAGACTTCCCAACCAAGAATAAATTGGCATGGTATGTTACAGTCAACAGATTACACAATGGTTTACAGGGTCACCAATAATAAGGGGTCACACACTCCTTAAAGAGATACATCGTACATGAAGGCACTTGCTTCAAGGGAAAGAGCAATGCTTGATCCTGAGCTTCTTGGAGCACATCCTGGCAGCCACAGCACAAACATGCTGCAGGGGTAGGACAGGACAGGAGGCATCTCTCCCCCTGAGCCAGGAAGGGCAGTGACTGTGCCACACAGGCTGGCTGGGGAAGTTTAGCACCCTGAAGGGAGCAGCAGAAAGCCAGGCCAGGCAGGGCTCTCTTATCTCTGCACACAAGAGGAGAACACATGCTAAATCCTTCAGCAGGACAGTCTCCATGCCCCAGTGAAGCCCAGCACCACCATCTCTGTCAACCTTTCCCAAAAGCCCCTTTCCTCACTCCATACTCTTGAGGAAACTGGTTCCACCCCAGAAACAAGATATCAGTTCCATGTCAGTCTTGTCACCCTTACCAGTGCACATACTGTAGCTAATTTTAAAAGGTGCTTGACTATACTCCTGGGTAACTCAATAAAGACATCACCATTGCTATAAATGTGTTGCAGCTTTATTTTAAATAATTAATCTTAAAGAAAGAGGGAAATGAATGTTCAAACCCATAAATCTTACTCTTACATGTCAACTTGGTAACAGATTTTCACTATGTCACCTGCATAACCTCATCACCACAATGAAAGTTAAATTTTGGTGCTCCTAAAACATAAATGATTTCCTCAAACCTCACCTTAAATGCATGATACTCCTACCTTTGTCCTGTTAACTTACCCTTCCACTATATGGAAATTTTAATCCACCAACTATAAATTAATCATGTATAAACAAAACATTCTTAAGTCTTAAAGGCAAATCAACCTCAATTCAATTCATCCTATCATCAAAAAGCAGACTACAACAGTTTCATCCTTCATCTTCCATGGGTTTTGATCACGCCAATTCTATTGCATTATTTAATATATGCCTGAGGTTAAGTCTAACTAGCCAGCATAAAAATGAAAGAAAACCTATTCCCCAAGTCAGCACAGGGTGTAGAAAACGCTACTACTGACATACTCCATGCAGTAATACTATGCACCCGGCTTCATTCAGCCTGACTACTAAATTCAAAGTACATTTGAGTGATAAAGCTGGAGTAAACACAAGAAGGCTCTCTCATATGTAACCGCTACTCTTTGATTGCAGTGACCTTAGTAACGCAAACTTGGTTTGGTACCAAGCCAAGAGCAGGACATCTGATTTTCCCACCAAGTGAGCTGCGGCAGAACTCCCTTAGCTCTTCAGCCAAATCTGTCCTGGGATCCTAAAGTCTTCCGCCGGAGTCCAGGTGGCTCCTCTGCACTTTTCAGCACGCACACAAACACCGCAGCCGGCCGGACCGACGATGCGAGTGGGCATTGGAAGGGAAGCGCCGCAGCTCCCCGTCTCCCCCAGCTCAGAGCCCCACGCTCGGCGCGCTGGATCCCCAGCCGGATTGGAGTTACCCCGTCCGGCCGAAGTGGTCCCGCGGGCTCTGTCCCTCCGCGGGCTCTGTCCCTCCGCGGGTCTGTCCCTCCGCGGGTCTGTCCCTCCGCGGTGCCTCTGCCCTCGCCACCCCCGCAAAAAGCCGCGTCCCGCGAGGCACGGCGGTGGCACCAGTGCGGGAGCGCCAGCGTTCCCGCTCCGCCCGTGCGCAAGGACCCCCGCCCATCCGCGCTCCCCCGGGGCAGGGCAGGGCAGGGCAGGGTCCCGCAAGGACGGCGGGGCCGGCCCGCACCGGCACGGGCTCCGCGGTCCGGGGAGCCGCAGCTCCCGGCGAGCCCCCGCCGCCGCGCATCCCCGGCCCGCCCCGCTCGCGGGGAGCTCTCGGCGCGCAGGAACGGCCGCCCGGAGCACAAGCAATCAATCGTTTGTCCCCCCCAGTCCCGCTCCCCTGCCCGGGTCCCCGGAGGCGACCACCGCCCGGCAGCGCGCCTCCCCGGCCCTTACCGAGGTGCGCAGGGATGCGCTCCCTCCGCCGGCCGCCTGCAGCCCCCGTCCCGCAGCCCGGGCGGTTGTAGCTTTTTTGGAGAAGCTGGGAAGAGGGAAAGAAAGGGGGGAGGGAAGGGGGTGGGAAGGGACTGAGATCGAGGGAGAGAGAAGTATGCGAAGGCAGGAAGTGGAGACGGCCACGACCAGTGCGGGAGATTAATGGGAACCAGTCACCCGGCAGCCAACAAAGAAACCTGCTCCCCCAGCGCAGCCCGGCCCGGGCTGCAGCCCCGGGCTGCCGAGCGAGCACCGCTCCCGCCGGCAGCGCTCGCCCCGGCCCCGGCCCCGCGGAGGGGTGGGCACCGCCTCCCCCAGCCCCAAACCCGGGTCCCGGACAGGCGGGAGGGAGGGGAGCAGCCAGGCAGGCCGGCTGCTCCGCGGGGAGATGCGATGGGCACAGGAGGAGGAGAGGAGCGAGCTCCCTGAGTGACAGCCTTCCTCCTCGCGTGGGGCGATACCGCTCGGTTTTTATTTAAAACACTCCGAGCGCTGGGCTCCTCTCGGGGCAGAGCCGCTTGCGGGGCAGAGCGGAAGGAAGGAGGAGTGCGGGAGGCGCGCTTCCTGCGCCGGGCGCGGGGCAGGCGGCTCCCGGCAGGGAGCTGCGCACCGGGGAGCCGCCGCGCCTTCCCGAGCACCCACAGCACCTGCGGAGGCCGAGCGAGGCGGCGGCGTGCCCCTGAACTCCGTGCCGGGTTCCTCGGTTCCGATGCAGCCCCCGGAGCAGCAATGTGGAATGCCCAGCTCCCTGGGCAGCGCAGCCCGAGGAATGTGGAATGCTGGCACGGCCCAGCCAGGACCCCCAGGGCATCGCGCGTACCTGGGGGGAAGAAAGCCCCGGCATGGCACGTTGTCTGTGCGGGCCACCTCCCTGGCACACCGGCTTCTGATGGTTTGGCAGATGAGAATCCCACCCAAGACGTTTGATATAAAATAATACAGAAGAGGCAGGATGCGAGCTCTCGGCAGGACCATGAGTATTGCAAAATACAGACTGCTCCTAGATCCTGAAGTGTTACGTAGGCATTGATAAAACAAGTCACTTCACAATAGATTAACAAAATGATTCTAGGTACAGAAGAAAAATAAAGAGCAGCATGTATTCTGCAATTTGAAATACAAATTCCAGCACTACACGTTTTTGGAACTTTTAAGCACTTGCTGACTTTCTTTCCTTTGGCTGAAATGGAAGAAAACAGCATCAGGTAAATGCTTATGAGTTTTCTTACTCAAGGATACTTCCCTGAGCCTAGAACCAAGTGCTCAGGATAAACTATTCCTGGCTCTTGCCACCTCACCAGTAAAATGAAATTCATTGTGCTCAGGATAAACTATTCCTGGTTTTTGCCACCTCACCAGCAAAATGAAATACATTGTCTTCAGATATTCTGATCCATCAACCCACACAACAAGGAATCTGGTGGAAATGCCCAGCATTTCACAAACCTCCATTATATTTCAAAAGAATGAATGTACAGGAAATAAGGGTAACTCTCATCTGGATTCTGATGTGAATGTGTGTTTCAAAGCAAAAGCTATTTCAGCTGTCAGCCTTCTTGGGACAGATGTATTTACTCAGCTGCAAAAGGAGTACTGTGTCACCAAACATCAAAAAATGGTGGGAGTTTAAATTTCAACACAACAGGAATAATTTACCTCCTGAACAACAAGCTACTGCTACAAGTACCTGGCAGGAATAAAAAACGAACGCAGTTTTCTCTCTGTGTTATGAAAACGACATAGGAGGGCCTTTCCAAGTCTATTTCACAAGAGCAGCAACACAGCAAACCCACTCACCTCTGCAGGAGACCATTGCTAACAAGGCATGATGCAAAGATGTTCAATTTCCAATTAGGCAGGAAGCGGTCTGTTCTGGCTGCTTCTCCACCACATCAAACACACTAACATTGCTTTCATCAAATATTATTTTTCTCCCCCCTCCCCCTTTATGTTGCATTCAGTTCCCCAGACCTCAAGCACTCCAGCAACTTGCCTAAATTTTCTTTTGAGTACAGGAGACCAAACTTAAAGTTAAGCTGGATTTGAACACTGAATGGGGGCTTTCAATGTCTTAATGAGCAAGCAGCCTGTGAAGGGCTTGTTTATTGCGGGGGCTGGCTGCTGCTCTGCTTAAGCAACTGGGAGATGACAATAAAATATAAACTAGGAGAGGATTATTTTTCACGCTTGTCAAAGAGATTACAGCTAGCAAAGCCCTCAACAAGAATGAAGCACTTGAAGGATCAGGGCCTCCACGTTAACCTTGGCCATATGGGACGTAAAGAAAGTTTTTATGCTTATTTTTCCTTACTCCCGTCCCCTCGGTGCACACGGGGTTAGCGAAGGCTCAGAGCGGCTCTGCTCCCACGTAGCCACCGCCACTTCCCAAGCCGCTCCGAGCGGTGCCCGCAGCCCGGCGCTGCCCTCCGGGCACAGACCCGCTCCCGCGGACAGAGCTCGTTCGGCGAGCGCCGCTCCGGGGCCCGAGCGGCTCTGCCACCGCCCCGGGATCCGCACGGCTCCCCCGGCCGGCCACCGCCCCCTGCCGGCGCCGTGAGCTCCAGCCGCCAAACTTTAACCGAAGGCGGCGGGGAGCCCACGGGGCACGGCGGGGCTCGCACCTCCGCCCGTCACGGCCTCTTCCCCGCCGTCGCACAGCGGCGACACCCGGCGAGCAGCATGCGGGGGCACCTTTCCGGGAAAGGCTGCCCGGACGCGCCCCTCCTGCGTTCCGGCAGGGCAGGGCGCGGGCGTGAGGCACGAGCAGCGCCCCGGAGCGCTCGGCGGGGCCGCGGCCCGGCGGGAGCCGCCCCGGTGCGCCGCGGGCGCGGCGGCGCGCGGCCCCGGGCCCGGTCAGTGCCGGGCGCGCACCCGCGGAACACGCACACAGATACAGACAGAGAGAGCGGGAGATACACGGGGATACACGGGGATACACGGGGATACAGCTCCGTACGGGCCGCGGGCCCGCCCGGACACGCCGCCGCGCTGAGCGAGCCGCCCCGGCCGGTGCCCCCGGGCGGCTCCGTGCCCGCCACACGGGCTGTGGCCCTGAGCGGCACGCTGAGTGACCAGCAATGTCTCTCGTTGCAGGACCGAGACCGGGAACGCCTCAATGCAGCGTTCGCTTCGGTTTTGAATTTGATGAGAGAAGTCTCGAAGGAGTGCGAGGTGAGGGGCCGCCCCCGGGCCCGTTCAAATGTGCCTGCCACAGGCCGCGCTAATTCGCTGCAAAAATGAGAATTCAGGCGTGCTCCTGGACGGCAGGGGGTCAGCAGCGAGCCTGTGGTGCCGGCCGGGATGCAGTTTGGGGCATTCAGCATCCTGGCCGGCTGAGCTGGTTGCACCTTGGCTGATAAACACCACTGCCTGCATTTTCTGTACACACCACCAATAGCCCGGTACAGGTTTTAGCAGAAGGTTTCTGCATTTCTTGGTGGAAAGGCAGTGTGGTTAGAGAGACAGAAATGTCAGGTGGCACCACAAAATACATTGTGTCACAAGGTGTGGAATGTTTCCAGTGCTCCAAAGTATCTCTGCTGGGAAATGGCCTTATGACATAGGAACCTTTTGTTGTTATTGGGGAACATGAGCCACTCCTGCTGGCTGATATCCTGTTCTGGGTGCCAGAAATAAGGGAGAGTTTAAATCTCGAGTGCAGAGATGCTTTGTGTCCTGTGTTTGTTTTGAATTTAGTGTTGCTGTTGTGATTTAACCCCGCCAGCAACTAAGTACTATACAGCTCACTCCCGGCCCTCCTCCCCTGGCAGGATGGGGAGGAGAATCAGGAGAATATAAAACTCATGGGTTGAGATAAGAACAGTTTATTAATTGAAACAAAATATGATAATATCAATGGTAATAACAGTAATAATTGTGATGAAAAAGGGAGAGAGAAATAAAATCTAAGAAGAACAAGAAATTCACAATACAGTTGATCACCACTCGCTGACCAGTGCCCAGGCAACTCTCCCTGTTTATACACATTACATTACATTCTATGGTATGGAATTTCCTTTTGGCTAGCTTGGGTCAGCTGTCAGAGCCCTGCTCCCTCCCAGCTTTTTGTGCAGCTCCCCACTGGCAGAGCATGAGAACAGTCCTTGGCTTAGGGTGAGCACTACTCAACAATAACCAAAACATCAGTTTGTTATCGACACTGTACTCTACTAACTCCAAAACACAGCACTCTGCCAACTGCTAGGAGGAAAACTTGCTCTATCCCAGGCAAAACCAGGCCAGACTGGATTTGGGATGCTGCTGCTGTGTGCAGGTGCCCAGCTCCACTGTCCTCGTGCTGGCTCTGGCTGGCAGGTGCCATTGCTCTGCTGGGTGGGCACACTGGAGCCAGCCTCTGCCAGCCCATCCCTGTGAGCACAGCTACTGCTCTGAGCTCTGGGAATTCCATTCAGTTTGTGCCCTTGGGGATCTGTTATCCTAACTCAGCAGGGAGCTCACTGCCTGCAGGGCTAATACAGAGCCCAAGTCTGCAATTAAATTAGAGAAAACAGTACTCCAGCACGCCAAGTGATTAGCTCTTAAGCAGCTCCTTTATAATTTCAAAGCAGTACATACACAGTAAGCAGTTAATCCTAGAACAACTGGGGCAGAATAGAGTTTTACACAAGACAAAACAAAGTGTAGTCAGGCTCATCCTTACCCGTGACTTGGCAGTGCTAGGTTTACAGTTGGACTGTAGATCCTAAGGGTGTCTTCCAACCTAAATTATTTTTTGGGTCTATCTTGTGTCCTATTAAGACTATTAAAGTAGGAACGAGCAATGGATGACTTCCACATTTATGCATCAGCCAAGACAGTACTGCTTCAGTCATTTCTGTAGAAAAGAAGAGTCATAAAAAGGGGGAAATGTCAGACCCATAAGTTCATGGGTAAATTTTACAAAGTGCAAATAAAAATCCACAGCTGAACAGAACCATTTAGGCACTTGAATGCAAACAATTAAACTTGGAGTTTACGGGATCAAAATTCACTAAGGGATCAAAATTTACTCATTTCTCACCAAAAGTTGGATGTCATTTTTTTGCTCTGTGCCATCATGTAAAAGAGATTCTCTGTGAAGCATTATGCACCAGGTCAGAGCATTTGATACATTTTGTAGCTTCACAAAAACTGCAATATAAGCAACCAGATCTGTTGATTTGTGCAGAAGCTCCAGGAATAAACACAGCAGTAGATTTGGAAATGAGAATTGTTGTTTGCCTTAATTTTGTCACATTTACTCTTGGAAGGGACAAGAAAAACACCAGTGAAATAAGAGATGTCTTTTTGGCCCCTGTGATCAAAAAGTAACCTTGGGAGGAGTTCTGTTCTGACAACAGATGGCAGCAGAGCTGTACTCAAGAGATTAATTTGCAGTGGGAAAGATGCCAGTACATCTGCAGTGCAAGCAGGAGGCTGCTGTGTGCTTAAATATACTTCCCAAAACTGCTGTGAAAATGGTACCAGCCTTTTAGACACTTCAGCTTCTTCACTGACTCATTTTTCAGTATTAACATATTCTGCTTTTAGAGCACTGCTGCTGCACTTATCCTGCAGAACCCATCTTCACTGACTGGGTTGCAGAGCACCTGGCTTGCACACATGTCCTCTTAAGGACCCATAAATTATGCCTTCTTCCACCAGGGCTTTTCTTGACCAGCCTGATCAGGGAGGCATTTCCAGAGTATTCCTTCTGACATTTTCATTAATTCAGTTCTGAGGTGTCAAGAGTCCCTGCCCTACATATTGTGTTAGGAATCAGGTGTCTAAAATCAGGCCTGTTTGGGAGAGTCCTGTAGCAGAAGGCAGGTGGCCTTTGGAGGTACAGGCATAGTTTTCACCCTCAGAGAGAACAAACCAGCCAATTAGTACACAGCATCAGTAATCGTGTAGTTCTACTTTCAATTGTAATCTGCAGTGGCTGCAAGTATGGTTTGATACCTCCCACATGATATTTTCTGTTTCTGTCCAGAAGTGCTATGAGTCTATGGCAGCCAACAAGTGCAAGGAGAATGAAATCAAACACTTCTGCAAATACCATGGCAAGTCAGTAGAAAGAAAGATGGATCCCACAGAAGAAGAGGTAAGTAGGTACTTCTGGTTTTGATGCAAGGTTATTCCTTCCCTTGCTGTGGGGCATTTGTTATCCCCCTGATGTCTGTGACTCATGGGTGTGAGTTGACCTTATGACACAAAAACACCTGGACTGATCCAAGCCTGTGCTGGGTTGGGGAAAGGCGGAGTCACTTCTTGTGGCACCAGTCAGTGTCCTATCCATCCTTTTGTGGAGGGGAAAACTTCATGCACCTAAAGCATCCCCTCTCTTGGATTTGCATTGTGTGCTGGATCATTAGAAAATAATTCTCTTTTTCTTCCCAGGGGACTGAAGGTTCTGTAGAACCTAGTCAAGCTCAAACTTGCCAGCAAAGGGTAAGTGTATAGAACACTTTGGTTTTAAGTGGAGGTATTTGCTAGCATTTCTTTTATCATTTTGAATCAAGCTTGTTAGAAATTGTGACAGATCTGGAGACCTTGATGGCACAGAAGATTAACCAGTGGTGCATTCACAATCAGAATATATGTACAGGCAAATGGCCATACAGAGACTTGCACAATTTGTTAGAAACCAGATTGTTTCTTGCACTTGGCCCTCCCACAGGCTCTCTGAAGACTCCTGTTCCTCAAGGAGAAGAAAACTGGTTTTATTTTTCAAAGCCTAACACCTCAGCTAATCAATTTCAGGAACTTCTAAGCCACAAAAGTTGAGAAACACTGAATCTGTACCACAGTATTAATTAGTGAGAGCACCTTTGGTATAGGGAATGGGAATTCCCCGGTTAATGTTCAGAACTGTCTAGGCTGGTACATTTCAGTTTTGTAAGACATAAATTACAGCACAGTGATCACTTGCACCAATTGAAACATTAGCTGGAATACTTTGAGTATGGCACTTGCTAATTTTTGTACTGATAGAAACATTCCACAGTTTTGTTTGCACTACCTTCTGTATATTTAGAAAAATCTTCATATATTTATGTAGCAGCTGAAATGTAATTTTTTTACCCAAACACAATTATTTTTGGGAAATCTAATATAACTAACCAATAACATAGCTTTTTTTTTCTTTCTTTTTTTTTAATTAAAGCCTAGAAGACCTTCCAAAGATTTCTACATTGAAGTTTCTCCTGGCATCTATTCTGTCACAGCAATCTCAGAAGACATGGTGGAACAAACCCATATAGTAGATGTCAATGCAGGACAAAGTGTTGATTTAACTTTTGTTCTGTGATGTTTGTTGTTTCCTGGCAATAGCAGGAATAAAACATGAGGCTTTTTTTAATGAGTGTAATGAGCTATAAATATCTTTTTCTTGTTAGCACTTTAATAGTACCTTCCTCTTTGGGACTCCATTTTTATGGCCTGTATATTTGTTTTCTAGCTAATGCAATTATATGCAGCTCACTTTGTACACTGATTTTTATAAATATTTGTACATTGTGTGCCTTTTAAATCCAATTATGTGACTGTGTAATTCCAGATTCTTCTGCTCTAAACAATTAAAGATACAATCAGTGAAATAAAATATATGATCAAGCCTTTGTGATGACAGTTTCTGTTGTATTATCCTCAGAAAGAACCCCAATGTCACAGTGTTGACCAGAGAGAGCATGATCCATGTGATATGAATATGGGTGCACATTAGCTTCTGTAGGCTGGCACTGATTTTAGAGCAGCTGGCTCACAAGCCACTCTCCTATCTGTACTTTTTCTAGGTAAAGAAATGAAATGCAAATGGAATTCACTGCCTAGAGCCCCAATTCAGAAAGGTGCTGAAATATTTGTCAGGTGTTCAGTCTAGGCACATGAGCTATTGATTCAGGTTCTGTCTCTTTGCAGACCATGCTAAACCCCTTTTCTGGGGGCTGTGAGGTACCCTAAATTCTCCAATTTACTGCTAAGCATCTTAGCAGTAAATTGCATCTCATGGCCAAGTTCATATGCTTTAAACACAAGCAGTCCCCATAACAAAACTCCCTGGATGCTGAACTTTGCCAAAGGACCAGATTCCATGTTTAGAACTAGTGATGTAATCTGTCATCTTTTTGTAGCCGATAGTATTAAGGTTTCCATTCATTTTCATCAGAATATAAAAATCAGTAGCTTGAATGCTAATCATTTTGTTGTTCATATCTACAGTAGCAGGTCCTTTAGCCTCTGGCTACTTTTGCTTGTGCTTTATTCCCCAAAAAAAAAATCTTTCAGCTGTCAGCTTGTATTGTTTCTCCATTCCTCCTGGCTTTCTACAAACAGAAACTGCTTTGATGAATTTCTGTGGCTCACTCCAGAGAACTGTAGACAAATGGGAGGTTTATTGGACTCTGGCTGTGCATCTATTCAGGCTTTTAGTGCTCCTACCAGCTCATCTGATCTCTCCAGAATTGTAAAGTCAAGTCCAAATAGTTAGGAATTTATTGTAGCACTTTGGAATAAAGAATGAGGATGCTCAAGTTTAATGTGGGTAAAAGCAGAGTTTCTCACTTATTAAAATTATATAGTCATCCATAAAGATATTCTACTGAGACAGTACCTAAAGCAGAACTTGATTTGTTTAAAAAATATAACACTGATAGAGTAGAAGCAGTTTACCTGAAATTTCAGCCCCTGACTTGATCAGTAGTATATGTACTGAATTCTGGTTGATCATGTCTCTCTCTGCTTTGCTGCAAGTGAGCTCTGACAGATTCTGTAACATCAGGTTTGTCAGCTCCAGCACAAGTCACTTCACATTTATCATCTGATGCTGCTTTGTATCTTTGTTCTTCTGATGCTGCAAAGCCTTCCTGGAGGACAGAAAACAAATCCCTCAGAAGTCTGGTCTAAAAAAAGCATCAGTGTCTTTGTTAACTGCTGCTTTGCTGGCTGTACCTCTGCCTCACATAGCTTTAATACTGGTCTATTTTCTGGGCTGGCACAAACTTTACTGCTGAAACACACAATTGGACAGCAAGACCAAAGGATTTTTCAGAAGCTGCTAGGCTTTGATTTAAAACTTTTCTACTTCAGAAGTCAGGATTTTGTTGACTGCAGTGAGGGGGCATCAGCCCCCCAGAGAGTACCTCTGGGAAGCCTGTCCTGTCACTCCACTTGTTTGCTGCAAGCCATTTCTGATGCAGCCTGCAGCATGTGATAAAACTGCTTCAGCTATCTCAGAGTAGCAATGGATCTTCTGGGTTTAAAATCACCAAGGGGCTATTTTACAGGAATAAAATTCTGTCATTATGCCCTGTATTGCCACGTTGCATCCACTACTGTGATTCATGCTGCTGCTTTGGGGCTGGAATGAAACAATTCTGCTTTCTTATTAGTTTTACCAAAAGGCAACTCATGTCACTTCAGTGCACAGCTCTGCCACTGCTTACATAGAGCATGCCTGCCTGGAGCTCCATACTGGCCTGAAAATTCCTAGGAAATCAATTACAAAGGTGTGTAGTTACGTAACTAAGATTATTTAACCAATAAAGTAGAATAGAAAGTAGGAACCATACAGTTGATAAGTTGGCATCTGCTTAAAATGAATGAGTGCAATTGTGAGAATACAAGATGCATTCCTGTATATTCTCTGTTCACCAAGACATGTTATTAATGGATTCATCTCTAAACATGCATGTTTAGCACATTTCAAGTTTTACTTTGCAGTCAGCTCACAGTGCCAAGAGCATGAAGGTACAGAGAAGCTAATATTTGATTTCATGAATATAATTTATTAATTCTACCCTGATGCTCTTGCGCAGAGCACTGTTTCTCTTCATCCTGACATTCTCTTTCATCTTCCCCTTCTTCTTGTAAGGTTTTTCTTCATTCTGTGTTTGCTTTTTTTAGCATTTATGGTATGATTTTTTTTCAAGTTTTTCTAAAGCATGAGGGAAACCAGCCTAAAAACCAGGGTGGTGGTGCTGTTCCTAGCTGTGACACAGTTTTCTTACTCTGTATCCCCCACCTTCACAGCAGGAATCTGCCGTTTAAACTGCTTGCCTCTAGTGAGGAAGAGAAGAACTCAGCAAAGACTGTTTACCAAAGAATCTGCTTTTATCTCTGAGACAGAAATTGTGACTATCACAATTTGATAGGCAGAGCTCAGCACCTTTCCATGGATTTAACACAGGACTACTTTGGATAGATGTCAGTGGACATTTGGCAGGTTTCTGAATTGAAATCTGTATTATTGAATGCTTACATGGCTACTGACATTTGTTTCCATTTTACCAAGTAGCTTCAGCCCTTCCTTAAGGCTTGGGGATTTTTGTTTGGGTTTCATTAGTGGAGAACTTTCCTACCCATCACAGAACTGGTGGATGGCCTCAGGAAGCAGTTACAAACAATGCCTTTTTCTTGCCAGGTTCCAAACCATTTACAAGATTTTTTTCCATCCAAACAAACCTCCTGCTTACATAACTACAGAATTAATACAGATTATCTTACCCTCAATGATGGCTTGAAATCTTGGTTTCTTAGGATTTTTTTCCGTGTAAGTTGCCCTCTGGGAGTCTGCTCAGTGGTTTCAAACATTGCACTCTGCTGAGCTGGGGCCACACTGGACATGTCCCCAGTGGAGATGACTTTGGATTCCAGATGGTCCTTTGTACAACTTCCAGGTCCTGGGAAGGAATGAAATTGTATCTAAGAGTGAAACCAGAACTGAAATGGAGAAACATTCATTTCAGAAGAGAGAAAAATGCACTTTAAACCTGAAAGGAATTTTTTCTGGTTATTCTGAATGGGTGAGCTGTGCAGGTTAATGAAGATGTTAGCATCATAAAAGGCATAAAATCACAAGAAACAGAGAGGAATAGCTGTGCTTCCAAATGCAGTTAATTGTTCTGGTAGTTTTCCATGGGATGAGTGGCCAAAAGAAGAGCCAGATGAGGCAGCAGAAACACCGAGGAGGGGGAAGAATTTTATCAGTCTGATATGCAAATTTACAGTATCAATACAAATAACCTGCAAAGTGACTGCCCTGCCCAGAAGCCTTTGGTTTTGTTCCCTCCACATCTGCTTCCCTGTGGGGTTGTTTGAAGGTACCTGAATTACTGGAATGGGACTTGTAGTGGTTTTTTTTCCAGTATTCCCCCTCAGGTCTGGCAGAATTCCTTAGCCTGGACTTTTCAAGACAGCTGGAGCCTGTGTTAGCAGCACTGTCCCCCAGAGTACTCTTAGTGGGTGATGGCTTCAGGTCCCTCTCTGAATCAGAAGAGGGAGAAGATGTTGCCACAGCTGCAGCTTCTCCTTCTTTTGTGCCTTTCAGTTCTAGAAGGCCTGGAGAGAGCTCACTGCTGGACTCTGCCTCTTCAGCTTTGTCCTGAAAGACCAGAGACCTGGAGGGAAGAGGCCACCAGGCAGCAGCACAGGGGTGGCAGCAGCAGATGCACCTTCCCCAGGCTAATGAACAGCAGACACCACCAGCACAATGGTGGTGGAAATGTGGCCAGCAGGGAGAGCAGAGCAAGCAGTGCTTGGCAAGGCTACACAGAGCACAAACAGGAATCAGGGCTGCCTTAGGACTGCAGGGGAAAATAGAAGAGTTAGAGTCCTGGCTTGGTCTGGGCTTCAGCCTGCTGGTGAAGGGCATGTGGATCATCTCCACAATCCTCTCCCACAGGCTAGGAGGGATCCACAGAGCCACACCACGTGGGAGTTTCACTTGCTTGTCATTCCAGAACTGGACTGTAATTTCTTCATCTTCTGAGGCTGTTAAGAGAAAAAGCAAGCAGCCTTAAGCAGCTGGCCTGCCTGGGCAGTGCACACAGACAGATCAGGCTTTGCAGCTTTATGCACTTTCTACTCCTGTCAAGAGGCAGGATCAACTCTTGCCCTTCTCTAACACCCCACCACAGTGTCACAGAGGTGAGTGGGTAGCCTGGACACCGTGGCTAAAACAACAGGCCTGGCAGCATCTTTCCTCCCAATTTGTCATCAGAGGAACAAGAAAACTGTGACAGTAATTTTTGTTGTTGCTGCCAAATTTAGCAGTACTGCTCTGAGAATGGTATTTTGGTATGTCAGTGGAGCTTGACTGTCAGACACAGGGAAAATGAATGAGCTGCTGAAAGCTCCTACGTCTGGGTGATAAAATCACCCCCAGATGTACCATTTGGTACAAATGTGAGCATTTAAGCTCAGATGAATGCTTCCTGGAAGCTGTCTCACTTGTGTCTGTCATGAAAAGGCCACAGTCCTGCACATGGCAGCCACAGCCTTGTCCCAGCTACACCCATGGACAAAGATGATGACATTTTTGAGTCACAGCCTCCTTAGGGTCACACTGGTGTGGTTACACACAGATATCCATCAGCCCCTGCAAGCTTGGAGCAACACTGAGCTGTAGTCTGTGCTCTGTTATTTCTCTGGCAGCAGCACCCTGACAGGAGTTGATCCTCACTGGTGCTCCAGAGGAACAAGAGGAGGAAGAGAGCAGCACTTTTCTTACCTCGTAAGGGATCCCTTGTCTCAATGCCTCTGAGGACAGTTCCTGGGCCATACCTGGCCCTGTCTGGCTCCCAGGGTGCCAGCACTCTGTCTCCAGGGAGCAAGGAGTGCTTCATCCCATTCACATATTCCAGGATGCCATCCTGGGCTGTTTTTTTGCACACACACTGGATGCCTTCCACGTGACACTAGTGGTTTGGCAAACTCTACTAGGAACATGCCTCTTTCACTCTGTTACCAGGAAAAAAAATAACAATTCCACTGAAAAACACTCCATAATGTGCCAGGTAATGCAGCTTTTGCTGGGAGACCATCCTGGGCCTATATGACCAGGGCAAAACAAGCCTGAACAGCAGCTAGGGTGTGTGGTGTTAGTTCAGCATTGAGACAGCCCAAAAAAAGCTCAGTGAGGCTCACCTGAAAGCAATATGACTGAAAGCAAGATGACTGAAAGCAAGATTCACACCACTGTATTTTCTTTCCCAAGAGAAAAAGCTATAGACAAGTGTATTTCCCAAACCATGCTGTGTGTGCCAAGGAACAGGGGTCACTAAAGCCATTCAGACCTGTTCATCTCTCATGCCCAAGTCCTTCCTCATTACATACAACACTGGCTCTACTTCTTGAGGGGTTGTTGGGAATTTTTATTTTCTGTTTTCTATTTTTCTATTTTTTTATTTTCTATTAAGGCCTGTCAAGAGGCTTTCCATCAACAATGAGATGAGGTACTTCCCTGTTCTTGAGAAAGAACAGGCTCCTTTCTGTGTTTAAGTTTGAAGTGCTAACAAACCAATTAATTAAAGCTTTCACTACCCCTTCTGGAAAGACCCTGAGCCTGGTCTGTGGCTGACTCAAGCTGGACATGTGTACATAAAACACAAACCCTTTTCCTGTGCTGTTTGTTTCTGTGTCTACACACAACAGCAGCCCCGACACTGCTGGCAGCAGCACTGGGGCTGATTCAGTCTGCCTCAGTAGCCAGCACAAGGCTGCTGCCCTGGTGAGCTGTACTCTAATCTTATCAAAAACCGAACCAAAACCTGCTACACTGAACTCAGGTGGTGTGTGAGGGCTGCTCCCTGTTACACATGCCCACACAGCAACCATCACTCACCTCTATCTCCTCTTTTACTGTTCCAGGGTAATAAAATCCATCTTGTTCCCCTCTAGCCAGCACAGGCACGTTGCAGTCTGTGCCCCCTGAGTCCCCCAGGCTCTTCCATGCTGGGCCAAGGGAGGGAAGGCAGTGGCTGATCCATTGGCACCTCGAAGAAAAGAAAACGGGTCAGCCCTGAAAGAAATAGATTCTGCAGGTCATGAAAAAAATCATCTTGTAAGGTTTAAGAACTGGAACACTCCACCTCATTTTGTAGCACTCCCACAGGCCAAATAGTGTGGGAAGAAACAGAAAACTTGTTTGTGCTGGGATAATTCCCTGATCCAGGGAAAAACACATCAGTGCCCAATTTTAATCAGATTTCTTTGCTTTAGGGTTTACAGGAAGTGAACCAGGAGCATGCTGGTACCCTGGTCAGCATTACTTGCACCAGCCCTTTTGCTGTTTACCTGGCAAGACAATGCAACCCTTCAGATGAGGAGAAAAGATCCATCTGCAGCACAGAGCACAGCGTAGGTGCACTCCAGAGTGCTGGAGCTGATGGTTTACACTGCAGCATTCAGGGAACAGCAAAGCAGAGAAGTAAACAACAAAGCTGCTGGTTGATGACAGCTTCTAGTTCAAAACTGGGAAAATAATCCCCTGTCACAAAGCATTGGCAACATTTCATGGAAGATGACTGTTAGGGCAAGATGCTTTTATTTATCCCAATAATATTAAAGGAATGTTTCTTTGACAGGAGGCTTACTCAGGTTTTGCTCTTCATAATCTCCAAGGCAGCAAATAACTTTAGTTAATACATTTAAAAAACTGCCAGTGCAGGGGTGGGAAAGCTCAAATGATGTTCAAGCTGCTAATTTATTAATCTGATATACCAGCCTGGTTTATCCCTTTAGATAAACAAAAAGCAAATCACAGACTTAAGCAGGAACTTGATTTTACCTTTTGGGGTCAAGGTGCTCAGCAATCCAGGCAGGATACACAACAAAAGAGTTCCTGCAGCAGGGATTAATTGTGGATATGACAGTGGAACATGAAAACTTGTCCAAAGCTGGCCTCACACTGCAATACCTGTGACCCCTGGGCAGGGACCCTTCCAAACGAGCCATACTTGGAAAAGCTGCTGCCTGCAGGACTCAGCCGTGACCTGTTGGAAGAAAAGAGACAAGCAAGAGCTGGCCAGTGTACCTCAGAACACAGTAATTTTGGTTAATTGTTTATTTTTGTTTAAAAGCACTGAATTCAAAATATTCAGACTGGCATTTGGCCAGATGAGCCCACATGACTAACTTCAGTGATCTTCACTGACCCAAATCCTAACCTGGAAAAAGGGCAGAAACACTCAAGGAAACTATAAATGCTGTGAAAATCCCCAGGAAAATAATAACTTTCACCTCCCTCCAACATTTGTTTCCCTCTTTGTTTCCAGCTCTCTTTTCTTATACATACATTCTTCCTTTAAAGCTTTCTTGTACAGAGCCAGCCAAACCTTCCCTGTTTTACAAGCTGAGACACAAATTACAGCTGAAGTTGACAAGCTGAGTAAACGTGACAGGTTTTGAACTTGATGTTAGATTACATTTCCCTGTTATTTATTTATAATGATGTATTAAGAGGAAATATTTTGATCTTTCAGCTGTCCTGTCATGTTTTATTAACAGTAGGATTATGGCTTGCAACAAGAAAGAATGAGATGCTCAGATGTGACAAGTGATAACTATTCAGAGGCTGTCACAGTAAGATCAATGATGTGATGCTATCTCTGGTAATTTCAAAAGATGTAGTAGACAAGCTTCCATTAATTTTTTTCTTTTTAAATATTGCTTAGAAACACTTATGACAACACTTGCATGGAAATTCAACAACCTATAAAATTTAAGTGCTTAATTTATTTTACAAAATGCAGTTTAAGCACTCATGTTTAGATGGTATTTTGTCTCTTATCTAAGAAATATGATCTGGAAGACTTTTTTATGGAGACTCCCAGATAGATACATAATTTCAGAAAACTAGCACAGCAAATCCAGCAAGAAGAGTGGATTAACTGCTGCAAAATTCATATTTAAGTCAGAAAATCAGCACAATATATCAATTTATTTCATGACTGCACAAACTGCTGTTATAAACCAAAACAGGATGGAATCAGTAATACCTTGCAAAGAAAGGCAACTATCATTTCTACATTAAAGCACATTTTAACACCTCTGTTTCTACACAAACCAGTGCACTGACAAAGGCAATTAAGCTGCTTGTTCTGGATAACTCCAAGTACTTTGGCACAGCAGTATTTTATACTTACCAGCTATTGGTAACAATACACCACCTGGATTTAGCCTGAATGCAGAAATGCCACCCTTTTGCCTGTTGGACACAGGGAGCCTTTTGCTGCCAGTGTTTCCCAGTTGCTAGGGAGGTTGCCACAGCTGTTATCCCCAGGGCTGGACGACATCCTGACCTGACTGGTTAAAACCCAGCAGAATGTGACTTCAGAGAGGACCGCCTGACTGCCACACATTCGCTCAATTTTCAGCTCCCCGTGGATCTCCTGCACCACAGGGAAGCAATTTTAAGATAGCTCAGTGTCCTCTAGGCTCCTGCCTATGATTGCAGGGCAAAAACCAACATCAAAGTTACAGCTCAGGTTAAGGAAAATCTTAAAAAAAGCTTCCCACCACAGGGTGTGACAAATAAACATGTCTGAAATGTGCACAGAAAGGTTGAAGCTGAGACAAACCAAGGTCAAACCACTTTACAACTTTCTCCTTTCACAATAAGTGGGAAGGATTAATGAATTCTACACCTCTCTTACAAAGTGCCTATCAAAATTATGTCATATTATAATGCAGAAACCTACCTGTTAATCTCTGCTGAGATCCCTAATTTTCACATCCTCCTTAAAAGAAAGACAAAAAGTTGACATTTGTTGATTTTTTGTTTGGTTGGTTTTGTTTGTGTTTTTTTGTGGGGGAAGGTGGTACTTGGAACACTTAATTGCCTTTTTTTAGGCATGTTTCAACTCACTGCTATAAAAACAAGTAACAGGGTGGGATAACTGCAGTAAGGGAAAAGGATACATCACCTGGGAAGTCTGTAACCATTTTTTTGTGCCTTCTGCTGCACAGACAGCTTACAAGCTCTCATGCTATCAGCAGAATTATTTAGCATCAATGATTCCCTCGCACAGAGTAAATGTTAAGACATTTTATTGGTTATGAGCTAATCTCTCTTCATCATCTTCACACAGTTCTATTTTATCACACTTAACTGAAACCATCAGCAGTACAGAGGAACCGACTGGGAGGTTGGGGAAGACCACTCCAGACCTCGACCATTATCAAAGGCCAAAAAAATTTATATGGCAGGTTATTTTTATGATGATGACTAAAACCTTGCTAGTCCTGTTTAGAGTATTTTGTAAGCAGTCCTAGTATTTTTTAAGGGCACTGGCATCTGTACAACAATCCAATTTTCAATAGAAATTTCTCAATGTCAAAAAGTTTTCAATGTGATTAAAATGTTCACTAATAAGAAAATGATGGAAGAGCACTCACTAAACTTTATGCTTTTCCTATGTTCAGTAACTGTACTTCAGAGAGCTCCTACCCTACTCTATTTTTCTCAGTTTTAAACTAAATTATCCTTTCTTTTGGTATCTAACAACCCTCCTTGGAACCTTTAAAAAGGCATTTTAAAAGAAACACTGGCAATTAGAGTGAATATTTTAAGAAAGTGCATGTGAGAGTAAACCAATAACATGACAGAAAATGAGAAGAATCTCAGTCCCATAAGCAGAGAGATTTTATTTTAAAGCAATGAAGTTGTGATGATACATACAGTTACTTCACACATATAGCTGTCACATTTTTAGCTTGGTGACAAATTTAGAAAGTCGTTCTGATTTTCATGAATTAACTTAAGTCATTCAGCTGAGATTTTCCCAGTTGTCCCTCTGATATCTAAGTGTAGTAACTATCTGCAACGTTAAAGCTCTTGTGTGGGCTGATACTGACGTGCGCCACGATCTGCTCCCAAGAAGTGCCAGGAACACACACGTCACTGACACAGCGGCTACTACATTCCCAGACAGGATGCCTTTGGAACACTTCAGATGGTCTTCAAAAACTGGGTTGGTTTGGCTTTAGGTGCTTGGTTTGGCTCCGTGACACCTTTCCCAGCCACCAGAGAGTCAGAGCACAGCACAGACTGCAGGTACCTGATGTATTTTATAGCAGCACGGAGGGTCTCCACTTTGCTGAGCCGTTTCTCCAAGTACTCCTTGGGCAGGTGGTGCCTCAGCTTGGCGTAGCCTTCATTGACACACTTCACACGCTGCCTTTCCCTCTCATTCCTCTTCCTGATGAAAGCTGACCCATACTCACTTTTGTGGAGACTGGAATGGGGCATTTGGTAGGGAAAGGGGCAGGGCTCGCTGTAGAAGGTCTCTGTGATGAGATGCTCCGACATGAAAGGAAGGAATGCCAAATCTTCAGCCAAAGGGACCTGGTTTGGTGTTTCTGGGTACACGTGAAACGTGACCAGTGGGTCTGCACAGAAAGGCCTTGCCAGCTGGATGTGCTGAGCCTCAGCACAGATGAGGTTACAGTAGCTTTTGCCATCCATCAGGTTCTGCATTTAGCCTGGGAACACATAATTACAGAATACTTAAACCAACTCACACTGAGCAGTATAAAAAACTCACCTGGACTTAGCAACTCTAGACCTTGCTGACATTTTCCAGAAGAGATTTTTTTAATGCATTTGTGACATTTCAGAATGATGTAAGAAGACCAGGTAGAACAAGACATCCCATTTGAAAAGTACAAGAAAGTGCAAGTCGGTCACACTGATTAAATTAATACACAACAGATATTAATATAAAGCCACTAAAGTTTCCTGAAGGAAAGAGAAAGCAGTCTCCTTTCACCTCAGCTTTAGAAATTAAGAGACTACCTACATGCATTCCACATAGGTCTAGCTTGCTCCAAACCCACCAAAACTTACAAACAAATAAAGCAGGCCAACATCTGAGGCATTCTCCCCACTTCCTTCCCATCCCTGAAAAAAACTACACCTACAGTTCCAGTAAAAGACTCTGAAGGAAAGAGAAAGCAGCCTCCTTTCACCTCAGCTTTAGAAATTAAGAGACTCTACGTACATGCATTTCCCATAGTTCTAGCTTGCTCCAAATCCACCAAAACTTACAAACAAAAAATAAAGCAGGCCAACATCTGTGGCATTCTCCCCACTCCCTTCCCATCCCTGAAAAAAACTACATCTACAATTCCAGTAAAAGACCCCCTGTTCATACCAAAGAGCCTTCAAAGACAAATTATTTTTCTGTCTATTCACTTGATTTGCTTCAATACATCATCTTAACAAAATGGAAAACCTGTGCAGAGAATGGATTTCAATATTAATTCCATGTCTGAAAGGTATTACATCCACTCACACAAAGATTTACAAGAAGTTTAGAGAGACAAGAGAATTTCCACTAAATCTAACACCTCCTTGGGTCCTCCTCACATTCCTTCTCCACCTACCTTCAGATTAAACACAGACATGAAATACTAAAAACAATCCTGTTGCTAGAAATTAAACATTAAATATTTCATATTTATGAAATGGACACTTTATTAAAGGACAAATGCATGTCCTACTAATACAAAGAAGGGATGGCACACAGCTGTTGGGGCCCTGCTGGGAACCTGTAAGTCAGACTGGCCTACCCTCACACCCTCTCTTCAGAGCAGCATTACAGCAGGTCTAACTACTCAAATCTCCCTGACACATTAATCACAAAGATACTCTTGCAGTGGTTTATAAGAAGCTGCATTGTGGTGCCTTCCCAATATCATTATTCAAACAGCTAAACATCAGCCTAACTGCTGAGAATGTAATGACTGTTACCTAATAGCTTCTTTAAATACATTTGAAATAACCAGCTGATTTTTAAAGAACCACTGTGAGCCACCCTCACAGGTTGCAACCAATACTTGACTACACAGAGTTGATCCAAAAATGCTCTTACTCACCATCTACTTGTACATCCCTACATTGTTGTCTAAAGCACTTAGACTCTACTGCATCCTCTAAAATGGAATCCACACCTGAACAATAAACTAGATTACCAGAAACTGCTGGATTCCATACTCACAAAAATCTGGCAAAGCTTCAGATGTTCCAATCACAGTTCCATAACATAAATCCTTCACAAGGATACAGGGATAATGTAATGTTTCCTAACGACTTCATACCTGCCACATTTACACAGAGAATATTTATTGGTATGGACCTGTTCTCACAACATAGTGTGTCAAAATGCCTCTGTATGCAGAGTTTTCTCTTTTTCTAATGCACATAGATTTCAAAACAGAAATCCTGTGAGTGAAGAATTAATTTACAGCTGTTAGGCATGAGTGGGAGTCCCATGCATCTTAAACAGGTACTTCTGTAGGTAGGCTAAAAGCATGAACACACATGGAAATTTCTCATCTCTAAACTTCTTGTAAATCTTTGTGTGAGTGGACGTAACACCTGACAGATATGGAATTAAGATTGAAATCCATCCTCTGCACAGGTTTTCCATTTTATTAAGATGATATATTGAATGTGGTATTTCACATTAATATGCATGCAAAAAACTCACATATTTTTACATATGTGAATATACAGTCCTCATAAAATGAAAATAGTAGACAGTCAACTTTCCCTTTTCTACTTATACAGGTTGGCTTATTGCCCAAAAAAGCTTTCTGCTGCTAACAACTTAAAAACACTGAGGAAGAGAAGTCTGCCACATAGCAAAAAAAAAAAATTATGGTACAATATCACTCTAGAGAAGAAACCACAACCAACAGAACCCCTCAAGAAGAGATACTTGCAGTATTTGTTACTTAGTACCAACACTTCTGCTGTGCAACAAGGTTACATAGAACAGTTACCTGCTGCCTCAACACCTGCACAAAGTGTTAGGAACATTTTCTTGTTAGGCTAGAGACTCACCAATCTTCAGATGAAAGTAAAATCCAGGATAACAAGATGTGCCGTTTAAAGAGTGATGAATACCTGAAAATATCTGAGTGATATTAAAAAAAAGATGTTAACATTCCATTTTTTCTTACACCTTATTAAATAAGAGATCACACTAAACAAGATTCATTAAAAAGCTATGAGAACACTGTTAGTAAATGGCTGGTAGAAGTGATTTACAAGAACATTGATATTCAGAGAAGATCTATGGCTAGATACAGCAACATGCAGGTCTCTTACCTGAATTATGTAGCTTGTTCCACTGAGTCAATGACTGCTGCAATTTATAGTCAATTGACAACATGCAAAGTAGCTTACAGTTAGATCTGCTCATTTCTGGTTGGGCTTTTCCACCCACACCACAGCTATGATGGCAACAAAACTTGGCATTAAGGGCTAGAAATTTTGAAACTGCTATTGAACATATCCAGATTACCTGAAAAAGTAATCAGGAATGTGGTTTGTTCACTTCCTGTTTGCCTTCTGCTGCAGACTCCTACAGTATAGTACTGAAAATACAGAGCAGTATTTTCATTTATTGGTATTTTGTACTCTAATATCTAAATAGAACAATTGGCTAGAATTTAGGTAAATATTCACTGTCAAGGCATAAGCAAACTAATTTCCATAGCTTCATTTTAAACACAGAAAAACAGAATTTATTTAGAAATTTGTGATAGATTTCTCTCCACTACAGATGAGGACACATATTATTAGCCAGCTTAAGGCCTTTAAATTTAATCATTATACCTGTAATTTTGGGAAATTCTTTTAGAGTTGAGTGTAACACCATATAAAAGGTGAATATATATAAGAGAAGATTTGAAAACAGTGAGCCAACAGCAGCAGCACAAGTTTTGCTTAGAAAGACAGACAGTACAGAATCGATAATGCAATGTATACATGTACTTAGATGCTACATATATCAGTGTATAGCTGTCCAATTCTACAGCTGCAAGAAAACAGACACCTATCTTCAGAATTCCCACATTTTACGGGATTGACACTTAGGACTATCTCATGGTTTGGCTCTTCTATCAATCAAAATAAAACCACACAAAAAAATTCAAACCTGAACCAGTTTAGCTTATAACTGTAAGATCAGAAATACTTCTAGCAAAAGAGGGACATACATTCAGTCCTGCTTCTTGTGACTGTCACCCATCAAGGAAAGAAAGCTTCACCTTCTGCTGCCCCTGTGTGAGCCACAGTGCTGTATCCAACATCCCCCTTCCCACACCAGCTTCAGACCTGATGGGAAAGGCAGCCAAGAGGTAGAACAACTCCCAGGACTGGGATACTCAACAATCAAGGCATGTATTCCACCAACAAGTTGCATTCTTTTTCTTTAGTAGACCCTAAGTGTCACAACCAGTAATTGAACAGCACAACTAAACACTTCCCACTCACTGGGGCCATGCTGAACACCAAAACTGAATCCAAGCCTGAATTTATTTTTCTTGACCTGTCAATCCTTGTGGTTTTTTGGTTTTTTTTAATTTAAAGCAAGAATCCTGTGGATCCACCAATTCACCACCTGCTTTAAATCACTCCAGGTTAAGTCAGGTTTGGAAGTCTACAGGACTGACATGGAAACAAAGCCCTGTACCAGGCATGGACTAAGCAAGCCAAAACTTACCCAGAAACAGAGTATTCATCCATGGACCACCTCCTTCCACACCGAACTGAAAACTGTCACACAATAATGCAACTACATATGCACAGCTACACTTGAGTCAGGGATTAAAAACTTATTTCAATTAACAATCTGATGAGCCTTTCTTCACCTAATCATTGAAGAAGTGCACATTTCTTCTCTGAAGTGTGTTTACAGCACTTTTATAGATGGATTTACATGCAGGATAATGAGGGAGAAAAATGATGACAAACTGATAATGCAGATCCATTTTTCAAAAATCAGTTTTATCTTTAATTGTTACATTCCAAAGGGGATATATGAAAGTTAGTCATCCAGCAACTGTATAACCTCTGAAGAGAGATGAGTACAGAGTCACAGATAAAAAAATACACCTAACTCCCAAGATGACAGGTGCTAGAGAAAGTATGTGCCTTACACCATCAATCCAAACAAATGCAGGAAGGTTTTTATAATAAATATTTCATCTTATACTAACTCCTGAGACTTTACCCATGAAAAGAAAGGGAAAGATTTTATAAGAGCTATCATACACCTACAATATATTAAGCTGTTAAAGCAAAATAGAACAAAATATCAACACTGGCTTGAATGTGCACTGCATTTGAATTTATCTACATCACAGTACTTGAAATATGCAGCTCCAGGAGTCAGTGTCCACTTATGTTTTGCCTCAAGTCTGCAGACATCACTTGCCATACAAGCATCTTGAAAGTATGAGTGCAAGAAACCAAATGAACACAGCCAGCAGGGTTTCATTCTCTGAGACCAACACTGCACTGTAAGATTTTGATTTCCAGTACCTAGCATCAATCAGCAGAAAATCCAAGTATATTTACAAAAGGTCTTTACATAAAGTGATTAGTGAGTTGCAAGTTATTACTGTGTTCCCAGGTACTTTTTAACCACATAAATAGAGAGAAATATATAGTTAAAAATCACCATAAAGTCACAACTGTAAATAATGTACCACAGTGGCAACCCAAGGTATCTTAGGGTTTGTTTTCTTTTCAGTTTTGTTAGTAAAAGCCATTTGAAAACGTAAAGATTTAAGCTTTTGATTAACTAATCCGTTTAAACTCCTTCCACTCCAGTACATCCCTCCAAAGTTCAAACACTCCTTTAATTTGTTGTTTGCTTTTTGTTTTTTTTTTTAAATCAATAACAAATCATTCAAGAAAACTCTTCTGAATTGGCAGGATCAGGAAGACTTCTGTCAGCTCTTTGCATCCCCGGGGCTCCTTGCCCGAGCCCCGCTTAGCTGAGCACGACGTGCCGGTCGAAGACGGACTTGCGCTGCTCCTGCACCTGCAGCTTCCAGCGCTGCTGCGCGTACTCCACCTTGTTGAGCACGTTGGCGCGGCTGCGCGAGCGCGCCAGCACGTCGTGGGCGTTGGCGAAGGGCTGGTGGTCCTGCAAGGGCAAAAAGCCACTGTCACTGCTCACAAGGTCCAGCCCCGAGCCTGCTGGGTCCTTATGTTCCACACCACTCAGGGGCTGGTTTGGTTTTGTCTTTCTTTAAGGTAAATGAAATGTCCCAACAAGCTGGTCAGTGACAATGACCAAGGAGGTTTTTGAATTGTGGGAACTGTACTTTGATTTCTCACTGACAGGAACTTCCACAGACTTCTCAACAGACCACACTTCATTGTACTGTCAATTAGGTGCTGCACAGGTAAGCTGCAGGATCACAGCAGTCCTGCATCCATGTGCAGCCCAGAGCAGACCCAAGCACCCCCGTGACTGTGATGAATGCACTTCACAACTGAACTGGGGTCAGTTCCCTGCCAGCTCCTGGCCCTTTCTGCCAGGCAGTTCAGGATGTTCACACACAGCTTCTATACCAAACCAACACACCCTGATGTTTACCAAACTAAGCCTATTGTGCTGAGCTGTCTGAAAGCACAGTGTCAATACAGCTGTTTAAGTGACAGAGCTCAATAAGAGTCCAGTGCTTGTTTAATGTTTACTCTCTCTGTTTTCTAACAGTACCTGCAAGGCTTTATTTTCTGCTAGCAAATATAGCCAAGGTGTAAACAGAGAGAGTTGGAACTGAACTTCTCGTTTAGCTATTAAACTGTTTGATCAAAGTCATGCTGCTAAAGCTACATCAGAAAGTATCATATGCATAATGAAAAATAACATTGTTATTTCCTATATTAAATAACTGTCTTTTTCTATCCCTACATTTCACATTCTGTTTTTTTTTTCCAGAACATTTCTGAAGACATTTATATCAATGGATACTTTGTGATATGACTGTGCAGAGCAGCTCAATGCCAAGTGTCAGCTCTACATAGATTAGCATTAATGATATCTATTGAAATGATTGCTCTGAGTCCCAAAGCCACAATGAGCATTAAAGAAATATTCCTATAGAGAACAACAGACAGTCATCTCACAAAAAAATATATACAATTGGATATATCTAGAATGGGCATTTAACAGGGGACAGGTCATTTCATTCACAGGGGAAAAAAATCATAATAACAACACATGGTTTGCTACTGTAAAACACATGGGAGAGCACAGGACAGTCTAGATCATACTGGTCTTCCTCACAAACAAAATTCTCAGCTCCAAGGCTAGATACTGCCAATTTCTATGTGACACAAAGAGGAAAAAATAATTTAAGAAGCAAAAGGACCAAGGAAGTGGCTTACGTTCATCAGTTGCCACTGTCACCAATGGGCAACAAGAAAGAGTGAACATACTGCCTTGAAATTCAGCCACAAAATCCATGGACATGGTCGTTTTGAAGTGTGACAAGAATATCTCAAGAACTTGCAAGAGGGAAGGCAAGAATGGGGATAACTCATAAGGGACCTCAAATTATGTTATGTTCACAGAAAAGCTACAGCAAAACATAACATTGGTTGAGATGGACCCAGACTTTGAGGTAAATCCATTCTGCAGTTAACCTGAACTCTGCCATGGGACTTATTTCACTTCTTCCATCTACAATCAAAAGACTAAATCACATTTGGAGGCATTAAGATAGTTTATCTAAGCTATACATTTGTTTGAGATATAGCATACAGCACAAGCTCACTTAATTCAAGCAGGAGCTGTCCAATTTGCTACAAGAATGCACACAGAGGAAGAGTCATTCAAATACTTCATTTAAAAAAAAATTTAAAATAAATAAAAAACCCCAACAAAACCCAAAGTCCTCCTAGAGGTGACTGGGAAAATCTTACTTTGTCAATACAAAGACAGTTGAAACATGTCTACATGTAATACACAGGGAATTTCAGAAACAGTGGGACAATCTCCACTTAAAAAGGTGTTTTTGTTTGCTAAGGAGATAATTAAGTATTCAAAATCCAGCAATTTCCCAGATAATAGTTTTTATCAGCTATGCTTTATGTACCCTGCTTTCATAACAAAAATATGTGATTATTACCCAGTGCTAGAGACTGGAAAGGCCAGTAATGACAGAAAATCCTGTCACTACTGGACTGCTCCCCTTCTTCTCCCAAAAAAAGCTCTTCTGACCTGTTGGAATATACTGTCACATTTTGATTTCTGGCTGTAATACTAAGAAATTATGTCATCATCCATTACTATTCTGCTTCATTATAGCAATTTCTCCTTGAAGTTTTAGCATGAAGAAACTCCAGTTGGAACAATAGAAGATGCAATGTCCATACTGTCTTTTTGTAGAGGGTAAACTAAGCAGTAAACACTTCCCATAAAAATGATGCCTGGCAATGCTGGATCATTAACTCCAAAAAAGCTGTACTCCTGTATATTCTTACCTCCATTCCTACACTGTTTCTTCTCTGTGGAAATAATCTGTGCCTAGAGCTGGCGTAACTGAAGCAGTTCTCACTGCTTTCCAGCCCAGAGAAAAATGAAAGAGTGGCTTCACAGAAGTCATTTCTTTTCCTCTCCCAGCAGGAAAGGCATTTACACTGCCTGGCAAAAAAGCTGCTCACCCCAAATAATTAATTATCAACAAACCACCCCAATTTTCATGCTAACTAAGTGCACAAAGACTCTGGTGAACTCACCCCAATGTCTTCATCACTTTGTATGAGCTGTGAATGTCCAAGGAGGCGCCTCTTCAGGATGGGTTCCACCAGGGTAAGGTACACCATGTACAGAAGAAGCAGGCCCAAAATGGACAGGTATATGATGATTGTCACCTACATAATGCAAGCACAGTTTATGCCAAGATTGTGACATTTCCCCCCACGTCTCACAACAGGAAGCAAAGACCAAAAGATGAGTACAAGGCGAAGTTTGATCTTTGGTAGTGTCACCAGATGATTTAAACCCAGAAAGACAGGAAAACTAACTACAACATGGTATTAAAAAGGGTTTGGGGTAGCTTGAAACAGTAAGACCTTGCAAAGAATCTTATGCTATGCCTCTTTAAACAATTCAGTGTTATGACTCTCACTTTCACCAAGACAACTGCTCAGCCTGACCATTAAACAAGTGACAAATCTGGGGCATCCCTCACTGATCTCTCACTGTCTAGCACAGACCCAAATTCAGTCGCCAAGCAAAACAAAACACCAAACTTCTAAAATTCAAAAAAAAAGTAGTCTGTGTTGTCAAAAACCAAAAGACATTCCGCAGTCTATTCACAGCAGTCCAGGCCCCAATGGCTCCAATGGGACAAGAATGTGAAGAGCACAGAAAACATCTGTTAGTACAAACACAGATAAAGAAAATTTATAGGAAGAAATAAGGCAGCTGTGCAATGAGAGGCCCACTGAAACTATAAGGAAAACAGAGCCCAAAGCCTGATAAAATGTCTTAAAACACTCGGAATTTTAGCAAGGTGTAAAGTCTGATCTCAGAAGTGGAGATCTTCAATAAAGGGTCTCTTCAGCTAAAGGTTGATGCTATTGTTACTGCTCAAGATTGTGAACAACAACTACAAAAAAAGTGACATTTTAGACTGCCTTGGAACAGTTTTCCCTTTAAAAATACCATTTCTCTAAAAGACAACAGACATGTTTACTAAACAGCTGAAGTCTTTAATATATGCCAACAGAATTACACTTCTTACCTTAATTGTGACTGAGCTTCTCTCCTCATATTTGCACTCACAACGTAAGCAATAAGCTTCTACATCAGGTCCAGGAACAGG